TGTACTTTGCTCCATTCAGCTTTCACTCAACCTTAACCAGTCTCCCAGGCCCTGCTGCTGAAAACAGCCCCTCAGCATGATGCTGCCACCCCCATGCTCCACTGTAGGAATGGTATTGGTCAGATAATGAGTTTCCTCCAGACATAACATTTAGAATTGAGGCCAAACAGTTCAATCTTGGTTTAACCAGACCAGAGAATCTTGTTCCAAGATTGTTTGCAAACTCCAAGCGGGCTTTCATGTGTTTTGCACTGAGGAAAGGCTTCCGTCTAGCCACTCTGCCATACAGGTGGAGGGCTGCATTGATGGTTGACCTTCTGGAACTTTGTCCCATCTCCACACCGGATCTCTGGAGCTCAGTCAGTGTGACCATTGGGTTCTTGGTTACCTCTCTTACCAAGGTCCTTCTCCCATGATTGTTCAGTTTGGCCAGGTGTCCTGAATATCATTTGTTGTTGCAAAGGGCCTGAATACTTATGCCAATGTGATATTTTAGTTTTTACTTTTTAATAAATTCACAGACATTTGTAAAATTCTGTTTTCACTTTGCCATTATGGGGTACTGAGTGTAGATGAATGAGAAAAAAAAGAATTTAAACCACTGTAGTATCAGGCTGCAACATAACAAAATTGAAAAAAGTGAAGGGGGTCTGAATTCTTTTTGAATGCACTGTACATACAGTATATAGTGACTGTGTCCATCTCTGGGTCTACATTTTTTACTGAAAGTAGCCTTTATGTATTTAATTTTTTTTTTTTTTATTACAGTATATGCTCCGTTTGATTTATCCAAGTCTGTTATAGGTTTGCTTTAAGTATATTTTTTTAATTTCTAGGCAATGAAGAAATGTCATCTTGGGAGCAATGCTTACTATACTCCTAATTTTATTTTACATTGATGGTTTATTTGTCTGCTGTAATCTTAAAGGCATAATTATATGATTTAACATGTAAAAATGTTGTGGATTTGCCTGTGCCTGCATTTTCTCTTAGATTGTGTATCTGAAGAGAAAGAGTGGTATATTTCCCCTCACTGTGCAATATTTACCTTTTTACTTGAACTAAAAGTAGACCAAGGTCTTGGCTTATTTCCTGCCAGGAAAAGGCTCCATGTTAACCCCTACCGACATCCGCCAGCAGGATTCGCAACAATCCAGCAGCCTGAAAAAAGTTTAGAATTTTTAGTAACCTCTCAGCCTAACATGCTGATGAAGCTGGTGATAAGATTCTTCATCCTCAGTACTGATTGGCTTGACCTGCCTCGTTTATATTTTTGTCTGCTGGAGCTGCAAATGTATATTACATGTGAACTGTCCATAATATCAAATATTTCAAAAATGTATTACTGAGCTACTTTAATTCTTTATGCACTACTACTCATACTTTACTTCGATTACATACAAGCAGTTATTCTAATGTTAAAGGGACCTTTTGCAGCTGTTTCTCTTTCATTTCCCCTCACTTACTGTACAGCTGCAGGAAGGCTTCTTCCAGCTGGGAGCCATTTCAAGTCTTAACCACATCCCTCAGGTTTAGCCTAGTGGAAATATTCTCCGGACGGTGTAAC